TAACCAATGATCGAGCAATCATTTGTAAGTGCTTAATGAATACCTCTGCCAAGTCATTATGGGTGTGAACATGAGGTACATGATGTTCAACTTCAACCCCAACCGACATGCAATAGTCATCAAAAGTTTTGGATGTAAATTCTCCAGCATTATCCAATCGAATAGATTTGATCGGATAATCAGGGTGGTGAGCCCTGAGCTTGATAAATTGAGCCAACAGTTTGGAGAATGCAGTGTTCTTTATGGACAACAAGCACACGTGTGACCAACATGTGGAAGCATCAACCAAAACCATAAAATATCTAAATGGTCTGTATGGAGGGTGAATTGGTCCACAAATGTCCCCCTGAATCCTTTGTAGAAAAATAGGAGGATTCGAACGAATCTTGTCATAAGAAGACTTAGTACTAAACTTTCCCATCGAACATGTTTAACATGCGATTCCTTGAATCGAACTTAGACTTTGGGTTAATGGATTCCCATGTGATGATTTGAGGATACGGCGCATCGTTATTCGTCCAAGATGTTGCAAACGGTCATGCCAATGTGTAATTTCGTGCGTGGTGCCAGAGGTAAGGCTAGCCACATAGTGGCTCTCTATGGGGCGTATGGTTGTAGTATACAGACCGCTCGGGATACGCTCCATCTTCTCTAGAATACACTTCTAGCCATATTCGTAGGAAGTTATGCACAAAAATTCAACTCCATTTTCTACATGGGTTTTAGCATGGTAATTGTTATCTCTAATGTCCTTAAAACTCAACAACGTTCTTCCAGAACGCGGAGAATAACGTGCCTAGTCAATGGTCAAGATTGTACCATTGGATGACATTATACGTGTCTTATCGTATTCTTCGATCAGGTTGGGTAGGCCTGAGAGGGTTGTCAGAGGTGCATTCTTAGGTATGAAGTTAGTGAAATAGATGCGTTCACGTAAAACGGTGTGCGTGGTTGCACTATTTACCAGACAACTAACTTCCCCACTAATCATACCTAGAATGAAAAATTAATTTGAATTGGTCACATGCATAAAAGTTCTAAAAATATATATCCATTCAAAATAATTTTAAGTATTCAAGGACGAAAATTAATTAAAACTTAATATCCAAAAATAAATCACCAACAAATAATCCAAACATAAAGGAAAATTGTTCAAAATTTAACCAAAAAACAAGGAGGGGGTTTGGCCACTACTATGGAATTCGGCCCCAATGTCTTATTTTAACTAAAAAAATAGTTTATGTCTAAGATTCTAATCTTCCATAGGTGTGATAGCCTCTTGAAAGTCAAAAACATCCATCTTTGAACTTTCCAGTTCGTCCACTTGCACAAAGTTTGATTCAAACTTCTTACGACGAGAATGATATTTAGCTACAACCTTCTGGGGAGCTCGAAAAACACGGGACCAATGGTCATTTGAACCATAACGATAGTATATGTCAGCATCCATGGTTTCAGGTGCCTTACCCTTATTCTTGAAGTTTGGGGCCTTAGGAGCGACGTTAGGGTGCTTTTGGGCTTTGTTTTCTCGCTTAGATAGGCATTAGCTCTGTTGACCTTGACGGGGTGGCTTCTGGCTGCCCCTACCACGCCTCTTGGGCGTTGGTTCGTGCTATAGTGTGTTTTAGTCACAGCAGTCGCCCTAGTAGGTCGAGTTTGATGATTTTTCATCAACAGCTGATTCTGCTTTTCAACAAGAAGTAAAACAAAGATCAAATCCGAGAACTTGGTGAACTTCTGAGCTCTATATTGTTGTTGCAGGACAATATTAGTAGCAGAGAAGGTCGAATAGGTCTTCTCTAGGAGATCCTTATCGGTCAAAGTTTCGTTGCAAAACTTGAGAAGTGATCTAATTCGACAAACTTCATAATTATATTCATTGATAAACTTAAAGTCTTGGAAGCGCAAATGCTACCAGTCATGTCTTGCTTCAGGCAAGAAGATGTCATTTTGGTGATCAAAATAAGCAGCCAAAACGACCAATAGTGATAGTGGATCCTTCTCAGCAAGATATTCAGTTTGTAGTGGGTCATAAGTATGTCTTCAGATGAAGATCATAGCAGTGGCTTTCTCAGCTTCGCCAACAGGGTTTTCCATCTCATCTTGAATGCCAGGACACAAATTCTTTGTAGTGAGGTAGAGCTTCACATCTTGGACCTACTTGAGGTAGTTTCTTCCAGAGACCTCCAAAGCGGTGAAGTCGAGTTTGTTCAAATTCGACATGTTCCTATCACAAAATAGATGGACAAGATGTGATTAGTGCAATGGGGAAAAAAATCAATCCATTCACATAGGAGTAGAACATTCAGGTTCTAATAGACATGTATTGGTTAAAATTCTCATGAAAAACTTCGGGTTTTCATGGGTGATGTTTCTAAGGAAAAATTCAGGTTTTCAAACAATGCATGTTTTTAGAAACTTCAGGTTTCGAAAGAACTATAAACTTCAGGTTCATATGTTCTTGTAGACAAACACAAATATATACACAGAAATATGCAACAAGAAAATATGCAAATAGAACTTCAGGTCTAGAATTATAATTGAATTAATTATTTGGACTTCAGGCCAAGATTAAAGTGTGGGTGAAAAAAATATAAAACCCATTGAGCCTAAAATAATTAGGCAGTTAAGCTCGGGGCCCAAAATAATATGCCAAAGCCCACAGGTGGGCTAAGCAAATCTCTGTTGTGAGGTCCAAGCCCAGATTGGGCTGGTTTGGTTGCATGCCCAAGGCGAAAGAGAAAAAAAAGGGCTCAGATTAAAAAAGAGAGCCCATGAAAGGGAATAGATCAGGTGTGGCGTGGAATAGTGCATCGAGTCTCTAGTGAGCTGGGATCGGGTGCGGCGCATGCACATGTATCCAGGGGATGCAATCCAGTGCGTCGCATATGTATGGGACACCGTAGCCTTTGGGCTAGTGTCACGGGTTGGGCTGAGCCAAGGCTTGGGTAGTTTTAGGCGAGCCCAATTTAAAAAATCTTTTTTTTTCTTTTTCGAACGAGCCAAACTTAATGGTTGGGCCGCTGTAGGTGAGCCCAAACAAAGAAAAAAATGGTCTGAGCTATTTAGAGCCCAATTGGGCTCGGGTTGGAACCAAAGACATCCCAGCCGTAGCTGGGTGTGCTCATTGGAGAAGACGATCGGCGTTGTCGCTTCAGGTGGCTGTGTTTTGGGACGACAATGCTCGGGGCGAGTTTGTGGGTTAATGTGGACCATGAATATGAACGGAGATAGAGAAATCTCAACATTCTAACAAAACCCTAGAAATTTGAAAATTCCGACGAAATTCGAGGGAATCTCGATCGAGGACGAATTTTAGGTTGTCAATTACGTTGACCCGTGAGCGAGAATTGGCTGCAGGCCAACTTGCAATGGTGGAGACGCCATGGAAGGCGTCGGGGTTTTTGGATTTCAAACCTGGAGCCCTCGGCTCTAGCTTGGGTCTCGCGGCTCGACACGGCTCAGTCATACAAGCTGTAGGCTTCGAAGAACCCAGCATTTGCCGATTTAAATTTTTGTTTTTCTTTTTTTCAATTCAATTCGAATATTTTAATGCATGGACATATATTTGATGCAATTCATGGCAATATCAAATTCTCATAATTCAACAATTATGAATATAATGCATACACAATTTATGTAGAATCTAAAATTCGAAAAACATAAAGTTGGGTCAATCATTATGGTGAATGTTCATGCTATCTAGGCTGCAAAAATATCGAGATAAAAACCGTTGTTTTGGAAGAACCTGATTGCATGATGATATGGATGAACTGGTTTGATGTAGAAAAAACTTCAACGTCAGATTCCTAAGCGCAGCAGTAGGAGCGTACTGATAACGTGTTGTAACCTATTTTATTTTACTAAGGGTAGAGGGTCGGCGGCAAGGAGATATGTGTTTGTAGAATTGTAAGAGAATATGAGTGTGTTATTCCCTCCTACGTAGTGCCTTTATTTATAGTAATAAGACAGAGAAGAATTCCTTCATCCCCAAGGAATACAAGTTCATATAGGAAAGAATAACTAGAATCAAATCTAATCTATAATTTACACAATCATACTTAAACTATGGAAGTTTATAACAAAAATTACTTTATTCTCCATAATTTTATTTTGTAATAGACGACAAAAATGTCATTTTATCCTCTTTTGATTGACAAAAAGTGTTTCATTAATATGTAGTTTAAATTAAAAAAAATTATGATTTTTCATTTTAATTTACCAATTAATCACAAACTAATATCACAAAACTCCTAAAACCTCGTAGATGCATATTATGTTATAATAATTCATTTCAATTTTTCTAAAGAAGCTTTTTATTCCTAAAATAAAAGTCATTTAAAAATTCTAAAAACACAGCAAACATCCTTTTAACATATAATTATGAGATATGATATATGCATGCACATAAAATATAAATATAACGTACCAATAATTTGGTACATTATTGGTATGTTATGTATCCTATATGGGTACGTATTAATATTTTGGTAAGTTGATTTATCCTAGTTTTGGTATGTATTAGTATTTTGGTAAGTTGATTTATCCTAATTTTGGCACGTTGATTTAGTAAATACCAAGCTAGTGGTACCAAGTTAGTGGTATGTTGATTTATCCGAATTTTGGCATGTCCAAAGCTATTGGGATGTATGTGTAACAACAAGTAGGATATCTTTTTCATATTATTGGAAGGCTTATTATATTAACATCTCATAAATTGTTGAATAAACATCACATACTTAATACACCTTATATTTGTTTTTTTAATTAAAAATTATCTTAATACACCCCACTTACTTTCCCATAATACCCACACACCCCACATTCTTTGTAACACCTCACCCCCATTTTATTTAAAAATGGTTTTTAATTCTTAATTGGTGTGCCTAAGGGGCCCACCTTCTGTTTTTGTGTCCCCCATTCCCGTCACTCTTCCTTCTCTCTCTGTCCCTCCCCCGTGAACTCCCTTCTTTCTTCTTCTTTTCTGTTTTTCTTTTCTTTCTTCCTGTCTCTCCCTCTCGGCTCTCTCTCATCTCTCACTTCTCTCCCTCTTCTCTGCACTGCGCACACATGCACGCACCCATCTCCCCGCGCGAGGAAGCCCATCACCCTTCATCACCGCGTCCTGCTCTCTCTCTCTCTCTCCCTCTCGTTCCCGCGACCCCAGAGAACCGGAAAAGGAGCTCCGGCGAGATTTTTCAATCTCCGGTTAGGTAAGCCCCTAATTCTCTCTTTTCGTCCTTGATTCTTGCGAGATTGAGGTTTAATTGGAGTTAATTCGTGATTTTTGGAGGTTATAGGACGAAATCGAAGCCGGGTGTAAGCACACCCAACTCCGGCGACCTCGGGGGTTTTTCCGGCCATCTCCGGCCATTCCACGACGAAAGGAAGGTATAGAAATACTCCCCTCGTCTTGCTCTTCGTTTTGGTACCTAGATCGAAGTCTAGGGTTGTGTGTGGAAGTCGGCCGGAGCTGTGAAGCTCCGGTGGTGGTGCTCCGGCGAGACAGGCCTCCCAGGCAGGTTCCATGCTAAGCGGGCCTTAGGCCCGTGTGGTTTGGGAAGCCAAGCCCAAAACCCTAGCCTATTTTACTTTTAATTATTTTATTTAATTGTAATTGTTTTAGGACCCTTAAAGGCCTTCGGGCCATTAGGAATTTAGGGCCCGTAGCCCATTAGTCAAACCCAAGAAACCTTTTTAAGGTTTTTATTTATTTTCTGTTTTAGGAAGTAAGGCCTTAGGGCCAATTGTAAAGTGGGCTTTCAGCCCTTTTCCCAAGTCCCTTTAGCTTAATTAAAACCCAAACCCCAAGCCCATTCTGGCTTTGTCCTTGACTAGTTGACTCTGACTGTTGACCTAGTCAACGGTCAGAGTTGACTTTGACCGGTCAACGGTCAACGTTGACTTTTTAGTTGACTTTTCGAGGTTTCGTCCAGGACCTCTCCTAGGCTAATTTCGACGTCCTGGACCCGTTTTTTAAGTCCGTTTTCCCAATTCAATTGTAAAATAGAGTTTTATTAATTGGACCCTTTATGTGCTTAGGGGCAATTATTGGTGACGTTTTCTTGTTCGTTAGTTTGCGTGACTCTTCGGCGGCTAAGTATTGTGAGTGGACCCCTTCAAAAGCATGTTTTAATAGTGGAAATGCATACATGAAAGGCATGATTTAATGATTACGTTTTATGAAACGTTTTGTGAGATAACATGCTTATTGAGGCTACTTTAAATTATTATTATTTTTCCTATAACCCGTGTTCTTATAGAATATCTTATGGATGACGATATGATATTTAGAACATGTTTCGAACACCTCTTTATAGTATAGATGATGGATGACTTTATACTATGAAATTGTTTTTCAATATATATATGTTCAATGGTTTTGTACTTACCTAGTGGTCCTTTCCGCTACGGGACGTAGGGATAGATTCCGGTCCGTCCCGGGTGACGGTTTGGTGCTGGCATAGGGCCTGAAGTGTGTTTTCCTCTGGCTATTTAGCACAGCGACGGGGAGACTGGCTAGGGCCTGGGGGTTATTTTCCTCTGACTGTCTGCTCAGAGACGGGGAGACTGGCTAGGGCCTGGGGGTTATATCGGACAATTCACTAGTGATTATTATATATGAGTTATGATTTGAGATACTGCACGGCATGCTAGGTTTCAGAAAACCTATGTTTATCATTATATATGTGTTTTCATAAAACTTGGGGGTTAGTACGTTGATAACTGTTTTATTATATTTATATCAAATTGGTCCACTCATGTTTGTTTTGCGCCCCCTTCAAGATTTAGAATCGAGGCGTACAATCCCGGCATCCAGACACTTCCGCATCGGTATTTTCAAGTTCTCTCGGTGTAGGACCCATTCCTTGTTCATTCAATTTTTATATTATTTCCTTTAATGTTCTAGTTAGTTGTATGCTCTGAACACGTTCCTTAAATGCATATTCTTTATTCTTTTATATTTATAAACCTTATCAATTCCTTGTTTTCAGGATTTGCACTCAATAAATGGCTTTCGTCACCCTCGGGTGTCGGCCAGCACGTGCCTATTCTGGTATTCGGGGAAATATCGGGATCGGGGCGTGTCAGATTGGTATCAGAGCCTAGTTTGTTCAGAGCATACTTAGGATCTTCTCTTACTAAAGTAGTGTGTCGGTTTTGACGTCATTTGGATGTCAGGACTTTTGGATTTTGTGTTATTCGGCGCAGTTATGCGAATCTTTCTCTGTTTGAATTGTCACCTTCGGGTTGATATACAAGAATTCGTGTCGGGATTGTGCCTCATCGGTGACGTGTTTGAATTGTTGGATGACTTTCAGCTTCAGATCGATACTCTACGACGTGCATTCCCTGGGAATGACGGGCATAGTCGGTGTTACTTGGGAACGACGGGTTTTAGAAATCTCAGATTGAAGAAGTCTGGTCAGACCAGCTGTAAATTCGAAATGGCGATGCCACTCTGCAACATGCGTTCCCTAGGAATTGCGGGCGGAGTCGGCTTTGCATCAAAATCTTGGGAAACGGAAAAATCTTAGCAGTACGAATTGACTAAGACCAACTGGAGTTCTGAAGCGGTGTTGTACTCTGCAACATGCGTTCCTTAGGAATGGCGGGCAGAGTCGTATCTCTTTAGAAATTACTCAAAACTTTCAAAATGCAGATTGAAGAAGCGAGTAAGTGCTAGTGGTGACGACGGTTAGTATGTGGTAGTTGGTGGGAGCAAAATCAATGTTCTCGAACTCATTACCTCTGAAGAAATTTGGGTGAATCTTTATAACAATTCTCTGTGATTGTTTTATCGATTACCTTCTTGTTTATTCCAACGACGAAGTCAAGTTCACTAACCTTTGACCGTCAGCTTCACATCAAATTCTTCGAGTGTTGACTTCGTTCACATTAATTACTTTTCTTGGGAAACTCCTCGGTAGCAGATGCTATTCCCATCAATTTCCCTAAATGGAGTTACAATTCTTGTTGTTGTGGTAGTTGGATTTGGATGATGAAGATCCAAACTTGTTTGGATAAACAAATTCCTTGAATTTCACCTGAGTCTGGTACTCAGTGGTAAAATGCCCCTTGTCCTCGTACTTTTCAGTAGAGGTAAACTTAACCTCTTGCTTGTAGCCCAACTGACCGGTGCTCTTGTCCGTTAACTGTTTAGCCTTGTAATTTCTAGTGTAATGGCTTGAGATTCTACCATATTCATCATTGTACGAAGATCGAGCCTTACTCTAAACTTCTCTGGACTCATTGAGCTTTGGTTTGCTCATAGGCATCATTTTAAGGTAGCCAATCGTGTCACTGCATGCATACGCAGGCTGCTTCGTATCTTTCTTCATCGTCATTCTGTTGATTCAGAGGTTCTATGTTTAATTTTTAAACTTTGAAACAGCTCTCACAAAGTATTGTGAATTTCGAAATGTCTTTGGCCTCGTCAAATCTTATAAGCAGTTGTTAACTATTCTTGAGCTTAGACCTATTTTCTTTTGGCTAAGAAACCAATCAACCTTATTGTGATGATTAGCCAAATAATCATAAACAGTGACTTCTATTTCTGCATCTTCATTTTCCTTCGCTTGTTTGTTTCTCAAAGTAAAACTGGATCATGCCGGAACATTACACGACTGGTGGGAAGGGTTTGTTCTCGGCATGGTTTCTCGTTCAAATCCAAATATCTTGTACTTCAAAAAGACTTGTTTTGACCCTCAAATTCTTGAGTGTTCTTTCAGCCTTCTCGACATGGTTTCTCGCTTAATCAGTGAGGAATTCACGATCGATCGATTCGACGGAAGTGTGCGCCCAATTTTTATCGTTTTGGACAGGAATGTTAGGAGCATAATATTTTGACAAACTTACCAGACTTACCAGACTTACCAGAAAGAGTTCCATGTGGATATGAGGTTTAAGCTGTATGTTGGTAAGAAACTGGTGAAGATTGCAGTGCAGATGATCGGCATATTGCATCACTATCTTCATGTTGAATTGAATGGTCACCACTCATTATCTTGCTACAATTCATAACCATCATATCTTACTCTGGTAAACCTTTTTGATGATGTCATGTGTTCGCCTCAACGCAGCTTTCCACTACCTCTCACCAGGATCCTTTAGTTCGAGAGCACGTGTGCGTGAGGTTCGAGCGGTCTTTTAGTAAGAGTTGGTTGAAGGTTTTAGTACAGAAGGTCAGCATATTGTATCACCATCTTACTAGAATTCATAAGCATCACATTGGTTATTTTCCAACGATATGTGTTCGTCTCAACGGATATTTTGATTACTTCACTCCTGAACCTTATTGTGATGAGTACGTGGTTGTTAAAACACTCCTAGAGAATCTGTTTGGTGCATTCTGGAATGGCACTACAGAACGGTCGAGGCAAGAATCGGATAATCTTTGCACTTCTCTTGAATCCTAAGGTACAATTTTCAAAAGGGTTCTTTACTGGTGAAACACTGGTGTAGTTGGTCACATTTGGAAGAACTGAGGAGGATAGGACGCTTGGTGATGGATAAAGTTTTACAACGACAGTTTTTATTTTGTTCGGTTTGAGTATGGCACTTGTTGTGGCATGGTACGAGAGTTGCTACATGCAACATTGGTTGATAGAGGAGTTGTGCGAGCTTGTATTCGGAGGATCGAATTTACGACGTGTGAAATTGTGCACCCTCAGGAAATTACTGCTTGCTTATCGAGACAACAAATGTGTGATCGATATCACGGGCTGCAGACCGTTGTATCGATAACTTATTCGTTGGATTCGTTAAGTAAGTGGGCAGGAAGATCGGTCTACGGCAATTGTTACAGATTCGTTATTCTTGGGACTCGACCCAAAGACACATCTTTTCTCGGAGTACGTGAAGTTACGAATTCTTGGGCGAGATCCATTTCCATTTTCAGTTTTGGTTTTTAGTATAAGTATTTTAACTTCCTTTAGTTATTTGTTTTTGTCATTTCAATTGTTTTGAGGAAAGTGTTTTCCGTTTTCAATTTTAAGTTCAGCACGAGTTTTCGACCTATATGTTATTACATCTCTATTTTGACGTTATCGTATTTTATGTACTTACTTTTGACCTTAAGCTATTATGTGTTTTCGACTTAATATTTTTATAAAGTATATTTCTACTTTTACACTGATGGGGATGAAAGTAAGAGTTTGGAGGCATGATAGAGGATTTTGCAACCCGCTCGCGACGGTGTGGCATATTCTCTTTGATGCACCCACTTTGACTTGATTTCTCTTTATACATATATTCTTCTTACTATTTTTTTTGAGTATTTCAGTTTAGTAAGTGATTTAAATTTCGGGACGAAATTCTTTTAAGGGGGGTAGATTGTAACACCTCACCCCCATTTTATTTAAAAATGGTTTTTAATTCTTAATTGGTGTGCCTAAGGGGCCCACCTTCTGTTTTTGTGTCCCCCATTCCCGTCACTCTTCCTTCTCTCTCTGTCTCCCTCCCCGTGAACTCCCTTCTTTCTCTTCTTTTCTGTTTTTCTTTTCTTTCTTCTTTTCTCTCTTCTCTCGCTTCTCTTCTCTTCACTTCTGTCTCTTTTCCTCTCTCTCTCTCATCTCTCACTCTCCCCTCTTCTCTGCACTTCGCGCACACATGCACGCACCCATCTCCCCGCGCGAGGAAGAAGCCCATCACCCTTCATCACCGCGCGTCCTGCTCTCTCTCTCTCTCTCCCTCTCGTTCCCGCGACCCCAGAGAACCGGAAAAGGAGCTCCGGCGAGATTTTTCAATCTCCGGTTAGGTAAAGCCCCTAATTCTCTCTTTTCGTCCTTGATTCTTGCGAGATTGAGGTTTAATTGGAGTTAATCGTGATTTTTGGAGTTAATTCGGTGAGTGATTTTTGGACTGATTTTTGGAGGTTATAACGACGAAAGGAAGGTGTAAGCACACCCACTCCGGCGACCTCGGGGGTTTTCCGGCCATCTCCGGCCATTCCACGACGAAAGGAAGGTATAGAAATACTCCCCTCGTCTTGCTCTTCTTCGTTTTGGTACCTAGATCGAAGTCTAGGGTTGTGTGTGGAAGTCGGCCAGAGCTGTGAAGCTCCGGTGGTGGTGCTCCGGCGAGACAGGCCTCCCAGGCAGGTTCCATGCTAAGCGGGCCTTAGGCCCGTGTGGTTTGGGGGAAGCCAAGCCCAAACAAAAACCTAGCCTATTTTACTTTTAATTATTTTATTTAATTGTAATTGTTTTAG